AAATTTTCATCACACGTGTTTCACCAAATAAATAATTTCATGGTTTGAAATTTCTAGTCTTTGCAGTCAATGTCACCGAAACAAGACAAGGAAAGTAAAGCTTCAACAATGGAGATGGATTCGACAATAGCTACAACAAAGGAAACTGAGAAGGTGAGATGAAGGTGAGAGATGGGTGAGCTACAGATAAAAGATTGAGAGTGAGACCGTGAGTGAGAGTGATGAAAATTAAAATAAGGGTTAAATGTAGGGGAATGGGGTAGGTTGGGTTGAGTTGGATAGTATTGAGTTAAGTTTAATTGTAATTGGATTGGATTTGGGTTTGGGTTTAAAGAATAAATTAATTTTAAAATAAAAAAATTTTTTTTTTTTGCGGGGATGGGGATCCCCGCGGAGCCCCACAGGGTGGGAAAAATTCCCCACAAAATTTTGCGGAGAGAAAATGGTCCCCATTTCCGCTCCACGGAGAGAAACATTCCTCTCCACCCAGTCCCCGTGACGGGGATCCCCGCGATACCTCACGAAGAGCGGGGAGAATTGCCATCCCTATAGGTACATCTTCAATAGCAAGTTGGAGGAAAAATCCCAACATTAGTTCAAGAGCACCAAGTCTGTGGAAAGGAAGAAATAAGCAGCTGACCCCACGTGAAAGACTTTGATCCTATCAAGTCGTGCATACGTACATAGAAAGAGCCAGGACGGAATTGAAAGCTAGAATGTTGAATAATACACTAGGGGACCGCACATTTAAGAATGGTTTATTAATTGTACTTTTTTTATTACCTCTTATAAAAAGTATAAAATTTAACTTTATTTGTAACATAAGTACTACATGTAAAGTTTTAATTAAATTATTGAAAAACTAATTAATATTAATTTTTATTTAAATATTTCTAATATGTATTTATAAGGCACAATTTAAAAGTATATTAATTACTCTCTCTTCATTTTTAATAAATTTAATGTTTATTTGAGACATTTAAATTTAATTGTTTATTTTTTATTTTTTGAATATTATTTAATGTATTTATTTTTATTTTACCCTTATTTTAAAAAATAATGACAATATATATTAAATAAATTTTTTTATTTAAGTGGTAATTAATTAAAGATAAATATAAAATTTTATTAATAAA